TTGCTAACGATTTTTGGGTTCAGGAGCTGCTTGAGGCTGTGGTTGGGGAGCTAGAGGGCTGAGTTTTAAGCCTTTGTCTCGTACGTAGAGAATATCCCTGCAAAGTTTCAGCCTTCTACATTGCCTGGTTCGCGAAATCGTTTCCCGTCAACAAATTCCTTTGGGGGTCTCGTGCGCGGGCTTTAGGCGCGTATGGAGGAAGATTTTAAAACGAGAGGATGACACACGAGGTAGGAACATAAATCCAAAGTTTCAGCCTCCCAGCTTTCCTGGTTGCTGAGATGAAAGTGGGTGACAAAATGCACTCGTTCCGAAGTTTTGCCCCCCAGCTTTCCTGGTTGCCGAGTTGAAAGTGGGTGACAAAATGCACTCGCTTTCCGAACACATACACAGACAGCCTCTCGATAATATGCGTTTTTGCCGGCTGTAACAGCGCTATAGCGCTGCTATAGCGCTGCACAGCAAAAACGCATAAAAATGAAATTATACATACAATGTTGGCAGCAAGAGTAGTCGGCCCTCGTTGATCCAGCGGCACTTCCTGGTACTGTCCTTCGAAACCCTGCGGACAAGCAGCATCAACAACTTGACCACTCGATTTCCTTAACTTCCAGAAAACCACAGGTCGTGGATTGCCTTCCACTTGGCAACCCAAATTGATCTGCTGATTCATATCAATACGATTTCCAGCTTGAAATGGTGCTGCATTTTGCATCGTTTGAAAATTGTCTTGCACCAACCGGGCTGATGCTGCAAAATTAACCACAGAAGTTTACTCAATTCCAAATATTGAAAGGACAGTAATAAAAAGGTACATTGCAGGAGTTGCATTATCGTCGACCCAGTTGGTCTACGCATCAGCAGATGCAAAAAGCGGTTATTCCATATCATAAAAATTTTTTGAGACAATCAACTCTGGATCGTCGAAATTCCATCATCGATACGCCGTATCTTGGTACAGTAGTCTAGTTTTTTTATTCCGTTTTGGTCTACTCTAGCTTGAAACAAAACATAAGATGCCTCAGATGTACAACAGATACCA